GGTGTCCCCAGGTGTCCCCAGGTGTCCCCAGGTGTGTCCCCCCACCCCCGTGACCCCTGTCCCTCCCTCCAAGGGTGGGGCACAGACCCCTCCCACCCCCCAAATCCGGCCCGGGGCTGGGTCCCCCGCTGTCCCCCGGTGTCCCCCGGTGTCGCCAGGTGTCCCCGCGGTGTCCCCGGTGCCACTCACGCTGCGCGGGGGGCAGGCAGATGTAGGTGCGGAAGAAGGGCGAGGCGCGCGCCCCCGCCTTGATGCGCGCGGCCAGCGGGCGGCTCAGCTGGCGCGCGCCCAGCGTCAGCAGCTTGGCCAGCGGGAACGCGCCCGCCACCATCCTCGGCCCCGGGGGCGCGCGCAGATGACGTCACGGGCCCCTCCCCGGGGGGGAGGGGGCGTGGCGGGAGCTGGGGGGAGGGGTCAGGGCTGTGCCCGCGTTGGCGCCCCCTGGCGGATCCAGCGCGCCGCGCGGCGGTGGGGGACACGCCCCCTTTGCCGTGGGGACACGCCCCCTTTGCCGTGGGGACACGCCCCCTTTGCCGTGGGGACACGCCCCCTTTGCCGTGGGGACACGCCCCCTTTGCCGTGGGGACACGCCCACTCCCCTTTGGGGACACGCCTCTTCCCATTGTGGGCACGCCCCCCTTGCATTGGGGACACGCCCCCCTCGTTTTGGGGACACGCCCCCTTTGCCCTGGGTGGCGGCCCCTGGCGGACGAGGGCACCCGCTTAGGGAAGGACACGCCCCCTTAGTCTTAGGGACACGCCCCCTTGTTTTGGGGGCACGCCCCTCTTGTTTTGGGGGCACGCCCCTCTTGTTTTGGGGGCACGCCCACCGGGTTGGGGGGCTCTGGGGGACAATGGGGGACACTGGGGGACACTGGGGGACATCGGGACACCTCTGGGGGACACTGAGACCCCCCCTGGTGACACCGAGACCCCCCACGTGGCATTGACACCCCCCCGGTGACACCCAGGCCCCTCCCGGGGGCGGGCCCAGCCGCCGTCGGTGCCACCCGCGGGTGACAGAGCCGCGCGCGGAGCCGGCCCCGGTGACACGGGGACACCGAGGGGACACTCCGCCACCCCCAGAGGCCACCGGGGGCCACCATGGGCCAGCAGGCGGCGACCCCCGGCCCGCCGGGAGCGGAGGTGAGACCCCCGGTGTCCCCCGGTGTCCCTGCTGTCCCCCCCGTCTCCTGATGTCCCACCCTGTCACCCCTGTCCCCTCTAATGTCCCCGCTGATGTCCCCGCTATCCCCACTGATGTCCCGTCTGTCCCCTCTGTCC